AACACGAGTCATTGACCGGAGGGCAGTTGAGTAGCCAAACATATTGTTGAGACGTATCTAAACAGATAACCAAATGATTTGATGACAAACAGATAACCCAACAAATACTAGGATTCATAGAAAATCCTAACGATTGGAAAATTTGGGGTTTGAATAGTTATGAGAATCCGAGAAAGTAACAGGAAATAGAAAAATCAGGGCTACCAGAGTATTGTAAAGGTTTATACTTACATCTGCAGTGACCACGTAAACATCTCCTTCCCGGTTGTTCCCGACAATAAAGTTCCTGCATATAGTAAACAAAACGAGCTTAATAATGAAAGACACAAACAAAAACACACACATACATTTAAAAAGGAAACAAAATAACGTAGGGACTCCTACCACCAGTCCTCCTTCAGCCGCGCGGCGGCATCGCTTGAGAAGGAGCGGATATGGAAATTGCCGGCGAGCATGGCGGCAGCTGATGCCCGTGGCGGCGCGGGGCCGACGGATCTGGTGCAGAGGGAGTATAGAAGGCGCGGCGGAAAGTTTCGGGCCAATCGCGATGCCATATCGACGGTTTTTTGGGGGAAAAACCGTGCCCGGTGGGAAATAGCTGCTAATAACAGAGGGGAATGAAAATAGAAAAGGAGGAGACTTTGAATAGTATACTAAGCTAAAGTAAATGTAATTTCTCACCACACAACTACCGGCGACGAGTCGACGACCAAACCGGCGTCAATCCTTGACCAGACCGAACTACGTGCAGACGCGGACGATTTGGGGTGGAGGCGGAGGCGATTTGCAGCGGAGGCTGTTTGTGCCGAGACGCGGAGCGAAATATTTGGATTGGGACGATTTCTCGTGCAGGAGCAGATGATTTGGGTAAGGGTGGCTGCTGTGACCAAATAACAGCAGCCCCAACAGTTAAATCCCAATCCCAACCCTTCATTAAACAAAAATTAAACCCAAATCCAATGGCTAAAATTAATAAAGAAATATGGTTGGGCACGATAAACATAAGGGTTATGCTACATTGACAATCTCCATTACAATTTGGTTTATAACCAAGTGTAATGGAGGTTTACAATTTGGAATCGATTTGTTGATAGTTGCAAAATTATTATTTTTCCACAATCATATCATACTATAAGATCATCATTTATGAATGGGACTCGATAGCAAATTGCTTAGGGTTGATTGTTTACAAATATATTGTTATTTGATGGTAATTTGTTTAAACTATGGTTAATTTTAAGAAAGTCGGTATGATTATTACTTATTAGTGAACTGTTAAGATGGTATTTTAAAAAAATATTTTTTAAATAAATAATAAAAATTGATTTAATGTAAAATCAGACCTGCAAGTTTTTTTATTTTTTTCGGGTTTAAAGTTATTAACTAAAATAATGGAATTCCAAGCTTATATAAAAGCCAACGGATAAAAAGTATGTTTTTGAGGGAGCATTAATCCCACGGGGGCAAGCCGACAGCCGGTTGGGGAGTGGCGGGCTGGTGGCCCGATTATGGGATGGTCGGTTGGTAATCTAAATGGTGGCAGATTGAAGAGTGGCGAGCTCACTGGTGGCTGGACCGAGGGGTCGGACCACTTAGAGCTGTTTCTGGTTTTTTTCAGAAAGCTAAGGTACGTTCTAGTTAAAATCTTTTCTCTCTCTTGGGGGGTTTCTTCTCTCTTCTGAGAATTTACATCATTTAATTGGGAGGTTTGATCTCGAGTCTTTAGGTTCGGGGAGCTTATTGACCTCGAGTGCAGGGATCAAGTCATCAGTTGGCCTTCTAGGGTTGGGTTCTAGCGAATTTGGGTATTGGCGATAATTCCTGCAATTAGGTTTTATGGCAACCAAGGGGGACGATCTGGGCAATCTACTAGAGAAATTTTTCTTGTTGGAGAATGAGAGTTCGATGATCCGACATTGAAGAACGTGATGTCAAGTATAGTGCGGAGGAATGTGGCCGAAGCCTGTTCGGGAAGGTGGTTGGCGACATGAAGGTTAACTGTACTGGGATTAAGAGGGCTATGGCTCAGATTTGGAGGATGGGAAATTCCTTGGAAGTGAGGGAACTCCATCAAAAATTTTTCCAGATTATCTTTCCCACGTCCCAAGATAAACTGAGAGTTCCGGTGGACAAAACTTGGATTTTCGAAAACCAAAATATGATACTGCAGGAGTGGAAAGAAGGTTTGAAGAGTACTGACAGGGGGTTTGAGGAAATGCTTATGTGGGTGCAAGTCCACAACGTACCTCTAAACTGGCTGAGTATCAATGTGGGTGTGAAGGTTGGGAGCATGTTCAATGGAGTAAATAATGTTAATATTGCGAGAGCAGGTGGACAAGGAGGAAGAATTCTCGGACTTCTGGCTTCAGTGAATATCAAAGATCCTTTACCAAGATGGGCTAATATTAGACTGGGAGGTACTGTGGTTACTGTTCAATTCAAATACGAGAAGTTGGTAAACCTGTGTTTCTACTGTAGGAGAATAGGCCACCCCGACCGTAGCTGCAAACACAAGATGGAGGACATTGTGAAAAAGCAGGTTAGAGAGGGGCAATATAGAGAGTGGCTCAGAGCACCAGAAGGAATCCATTGGTCCCAATCTCCTAGTCAGAGTAACCATTCAAATTCTGAAGAACAAGCAACTCCAAATGATCAGAATGTCAGCCACCCTTCAGCTAATACTGATATAGGTTCCACTAGCATGAGTGCCAGCCTTCAGGCAAGTGAAAACCAGCAAGAAGCCAAGCTTGTGAGGGACTATCAACCAGTGGATATTCCGTCTCCGGTGCCAGAAAGTAGTGTAGTGAGCATGATGGAAGCAAATGTGGCCATGGCTATAGTTTGTTGTGAGCAGCCCAGTCAAGGAGCTACAGAGCAAATTAGTGATATGGAGACAGTACCTGTACATGAGCAATAGAAAAGTACAGAAGGAATTTCCTCAATGGAGCAACCAAAGAGGACCTAGAGAAGGACTAATGTCAAGGATACATGTTAGGCTATGAGTGGAGATCAACCTAGTGCTTCAACCAAAAATCCTGCAACTAAAAGGGGACACTATGAGGTTCAGGGAGACAACACTCCATAAGCAGAGGATCAGGATACTGTAGCAAATAGCAAAAAAGCTAAATTGATTGAAGTGAAGGTGGAGGCAGCCAGCCATAAATGGCTCCCCTCAAAAATAATATTAATAATACGATGTCAAAAACTTATAATCATATATACCTTGTTGGATTTTATTTAAAGAAAGATTTATAACAAATGGTTTATTTCCCATGATTAGCGGATAAGAGAGAGAATCCAATTATTTAATTGTATTTAATTAAGGTAAGAGAGAGAATCCAATTTCTTCCATATCTATTGCATCTTCTTCACAAGAAAAAAAAAAATCTATCTTCTGTAAACACACAAAAAACCTCCTCAGTGATGTCAAATCCGTCAAGGACGAAGATGAAACAAGATTAACACACTCCCGATCTCCTTGAACATCTCAATTTTAAGTACCCGAACTTAAGGACGTCCAAAAGAAGCTCCAATTTCAAAAAATTGAAGCTCCAAGAGGTTCTAAAAAACCGACTCCCACGTGGATGCAGACATCTCAAATGACATATCACATATACGTAAACGTCTTATGGTATGCCACCATGGTCTGACTTTGCATATGTTTAGCATAGTTGATTCAATTTGGAGTACCTTTAGTATATCGTGGTCTGATTATGCATATATTTATCTAAAGTATAATTTTAGTATAAATGTTTAATCTTTGGAATATGCTACTTTTGTTGTTCTAGAGTTGTTTATCTCACTTTTATCTTCCATATACTTTTGTTGTTCTGGAGTTATTTATCTCATGTTTATCTTCTGTATAATTTTACTGTTCTTTAGCATAGTATCTGAAGCATGTTCGGTGAATCTCTGTAAAAACCATCACCTTTCGAATCTTCCCGTGTTGTTTTCTGATATCTTACTGCTACTATATCACACACAGATGGTGGCAAAGATATTGGTATGACTATTCCAACGAATCCAAGTTTTCTAAAGTTGTTTATTTCAAGTTTATCTTCCGTATACTTTGTTGTTTTAGCATAGTATCAGCAGCATTTGGTAGAATCCTTTGTAAAACCATCGCCTTTTGAATCTTCATGTGCCCTCCTTTTTTCAACAACAAGTGGCCTATGAAAAGAAAATCCCGTTTAAATTTTTGAATTCGGTGAAACTCAAATTTGTAGATATTACATTTGGTCTTTTTTTTTTTTTACTTTTCGATTCGAATTTGTAGATATTACATTTGGTATTTCTTTTTTTTTTTTTTTTGAATTTTCGTTGTGTTTGCGTATGTTTCGTCGAATTGGTTGCATGTTATTAATTGGAGGGAGAAACTAAGCACCAAGTGAGAGAAAAAAATCACGTAAATGTGAAAACAAAATCACATCTAAATTCTCTTTTTTATTTTAGTTTATCCAGTTCGTATTTATGTAGATAAATGTAACATGGAGTCTACATATGTAAATTTCCCATTTAAGTTTGGACCGTTTAGCCCGAAATGATAGCCCGTTTAGTAGGAGGCATGTTAAGGTTAAGACTTAAGATTATGTCTCTTTATTGTATCGAAAAAAAAGATTATGTCTCTTTATTGGTAATCCATTTAAATATGAGCTTTTTAAGCCTAAACCGCTTATAAGGCTAGTTCGTTTAACATTTATAAGTACAAGTGTTGTTGTACTAGTAAGTAGCAACTCACTTCAACAACATCGAGGCAAAGCGCGAGTTGCCAACCCATACTAGCAATACCGCGGAATCTTTTAGACATTTCATCAAACAACTAAGCTACACGCCGGGCGCCTCTCATACACGTGTTCTCTTCTCCTTTCTCCACCACTCTCTGCCCATGCACCACACCCACTCCACCCACAACCATAAAGGCAAGCCTTGCCCACCGCCGTAAAACCGCGCCCCTCCGTCTATTCCATCGGAAAACCCTCCTCCGCGAAGAACCTCAAGACATGTACGCCGCGAAATCCCACCTCCACCGCCTCCAATTCAATGTCCGCAGCTGCCGGAGGCTCTTCTCTTCGCAGTCGCAGACCCCTCTCGAGTCCGCCGGCCCCATGGCGTGCCTTCTCAAGACCCGATCCGTGATCCGCTTCAGGGGACCCGAGACCATCAAGTTCCTCCAGGGTCTTGTAACCAACGACGTGAGGATTCTAGACAACCCGGAAACCGATGTCGAGAGCAGCAAGACGCCCAACTTGTCGGGGCTTGTGGTTCCTCCGGTGTACGCCGCAATGCTGACTCCCCAGGGGAGGTTTCTATACGATTTCTTTCTTTACAGGCCGCCCTGTTCGGATGAGAAGCTCGACCGGACGGGTTCTGGGCCGGGGCCCGACTCGGGTGAGCTCGAGATTTTCGCCGATGTTGATGGGTCTGTCATGGATGAGCTCTTGGCAACTCTGAAAAGGTGAAAACTTCATCAAAGTTTTTTGTTTTAAATTGAAACCAGTGAAACTTGAAGATGATTTGAATTGTTCGTTCTACTTGAAGGTTGTGTGATTTGGGGGCATTGAGCATTTGAGCTTATATAATTCATAAGGCTAGATGAAATGGATCCATTTTGAGGTAGTGGTATGCAAGTATTCGTACATTCTGTATAAAAGTTATAAATGAATGCTAAACAACAGGAATTTGATGCTTATATATATTCTAAATCGGGCTGTTGTATGAAGTTTTTGTTTTTATTGCCTGGTGCAAATCCTAGTTTTGGTATTTTGAAGAAGTGTTTGGCCGCGATCGTTTTTAAGTCATACATGAGGCTTCTTGCTAATGGGATTCCCTTCTTGTGTGCCTAGCTTACACAGAAATTGAAAGCATGGGCTTATGAAAGGTTTTGGACATATTGGTCTCTTAAATCTATTTGTCAAGTCTAAAGGCACTTTTTTTTTTTTTTTTTCAAAGGTAGAAATTATTGTTGTAAAAATCTCTAGGCTCTCTAGGCATTGGACTGCGGCCTAGCGCCTAGGCAAAGTGATGCAGGAGTTATATAGTGCTAGGTGGGATATAATCAGATAAAAATGTAGGCGGCCATAGGGGGCCTAACGCCTAGGCCATATATAATCGGAGCTAGATGAAAACTTTTACAACCATGATTCTAGTTACTCATCTTTATAGAAGAGGTAAAAAAACTTTGTCTTTCACTATGTAATGTTCCGGCAAATGCGTTGATCCTTTTATCTAGATAAGATATCCCCTGTGGATTTCTTCTATGAAAGTTTTCGTCTTACTCCACATGAGTAACTCTTTTGCGACGGCCCTTTTGGTGATTACATGATATGTCATTGCTGTGGCTTCAAATCATATACTGGCAGATACCGTTTGAGATCTAAGGTTGAGATTGAGAATGCGGCACAAGATTTCTCTTGCTGGCAAAGGTTTGGTAGGAACTTAGCAAGTGAATCTTCATCATTGGAAGACTCAGAAGCAAATTCCATTGGCTATGGCGGTACTGTTGATGGTTCTGGTATATCGTCTTCACGAGGAAATAATCGTGGTTGGCAATGGAATAAGGACCCAAGGATGTCTTGTCTTGGATTTCGAGGCATCTTTCCATCCAATGATACACGTAAGTTTAGTTAACCATCTTAAATACTTAGTTCTGGGCTCCTGTTTTCATCTTATTTATTATTATTGTTGTAACTATGTTCATTACTTAATTCTTTTACCTTTTTGTACGTCATATATCGCAATAGAGGTTTCATAACTGCGCATTCCCATTACTGATTTCTTGTTCACACATTTGTCTGGCGACATGGTTAATATACGAATGGTTGCTTTCTTGCATTTGATTTTCTATTTACTCAGTCAATTACAATATGCTGCCGATTGTGGTCTGATATATATGTCTCTCTAGTTCAGCTCCACTCGTTGAGGTGGATAAAGAAACTGATGAAGGAAATTATCTTCTTTGGAGGTTAGAGAAGGGAGTTGCTGAAGGCTCAGCTGAGATCCCAAAAGGTTAGTATCTTTGATACTTGCATATTTGGATTTCAGTCTCAGTAGTTCACATGTTAAATAACTCTCATGTGTGAACATCTCACAATCATTTTCAACAAGCTGAAGGCTGCAGAATTAATTCATTTCTCATGATTTACTTAGCATATGTTACTTCCATATTCTTCGGCTTGGAACTAATATATTTGAAAAGAAAATCCAGTTCATGTCGAGAAACTGAAGATTTGATGACCTATCCTGCTTGCTTGATGAATTAATGAGTGATTGAGCTCCAGAAGATATATACTCACGAGTTACTCTTTTAATACGCTGACCAATGCTGACGATTGTGACCTATAAATATAAATGTGTCGTTTTTATGCAGGTGAGGCGATACCCCTAGAATACAATCTTGCTGGTCTCAATGCGATTAGCTTTGATAAAGGATGTTACATTGGCCAAGAACTCATTGCTCGTACACATCACCGTGGAGTAATACGAAAACGACTAATCCCTTTGAGATTTTTGGATGATAGTGGAAAAGGTACAAACCCACGTAAATTTCTCTATTACTTTCTGACATTTTTCTGGGTGTATTTGTATAATATGACATATTTTTTTGTCTAATCTAATTTAGAGATTGAACAAAAAGTATCACCTGGTTCTGAAGTGATTGACACGGCCTCCCAAAAGAAAGCTGGGACGGTCACAACTGCACTTGGATCTCGTGGTTTGGGCCTTCTCCGCTTGGATGAGGCTTTCAAAGGATTGGGCTCATTAATCATAAAAGGCCAGGAAGATATCAAAGTAGAGACCATTAGGCCAAAATGGTGGCCTCCTGAGTGGGTGTAACTGCTTAGCTTATGTATGACTCTATTACCCTCTTTTTACACATCAAAATAATGGAGCTAGTGAACATGAACAAGAACTTTATTTTGTTTTAATAAACTCTTTCCCCTTGACCATGCAATTTATACATATTGCGCAGTTGATTTTGTTTTGACTGCATGTGAATGAAAATAGTTGCATTTTGCGAAGCTTTATGCCCGTAAATCATGTGTGGATTCCGAGAGGACATTTTTCGTGCGTGTGTTGAAAATTGAGATTAAACTATACAGAAACTGTACCTTTTTCTTTAGGATGCTGGAAAATTCAAATAAATTCACAAAAAATATCTAATTGAACGTTGTACGTGGACCTGTCCATCCCTGTATCTAATTTACATGCTCCGGCCAAACACCGTTAAATCGCATTCTAGTTCGCGTTTTCCAATCATATCTTTAAGTTAAGATTGTAGGGATTTCAGTGGATTTGCGCATTATAATCATCGTCTAGCCACTCTTCATACCGCTTTTGAGCTCCTGCTCTACCAACGCCATGCTTGGCCTACTCTCTGGATTCTCATTCGTGCAGTCCAAGGCAATCCTCGTCAGCAGTTGGGCCTCGATTTCCAGAAAATCACCTTCTAGCTTTGGGTCCATAAACTCCTCCAATTTTCCAGCCTCAGCCGCTGCCCGTGTGGGCCCCGGGAGCATCGTCTTGCCACACAATAACTGGGAAATGATGACTCCGTACGCGTACACGTCACTTTTTTCTGTGAACCTACCCGTGGTGATGTACTCGGGGGCCATGTAGCCCAATGCGGCACTGACTTTGAGGGCCGAGTAGACAACATCGTTTGCAAGAAGCCCGTGAAGGCCCGCATCCAGAATCAACGGGCTCAGGTTCTGGTCGAGCAGGACTTTTGCGACCGAGATGTTTTGGTGGATGATCGGTGGCTTATTCGTCTGGTTGCTGTGCAGATACAGCACACCTGGTTTTAGAATCATCAAAATTAAATCACAGATGAGTTTCTAGTTTTCAGTGATGAGGCAATTTTTAGATTTAACCATATCTACTAGCTTGATGATGGTTGAAAGCATTTTTTGCTTCAATGGGCCAAGCAAATGTCAGATCATAAATTGAAGCATTTAATGGCAACTGTCTTATGGCATTTGGTGAAGAAGCTATAGTAATTGCTCTGTCTGAAGCTCATGTGCCATTCTCTCACAACAAGTGGTTGTTGTCCATACATTAACTCAATTATAGGACAGTGGACTTTTTGGGGGATCAATAATTGCTTCAGACAAAAAGTTTGGTCTTAGGAAAGACTTCAAATGATAAGACATCATAACACAACTCTGAAAATCACCAGAATGACTCGCAAATGGCCTAAACTAAGGGGTGAAACAATTTAACTTTACTTAATCAACTTAAATGCCAGAAACTGGTATGCAGTAGCTACAAACAAAGAAATGTTTGCAGACTGTTAAAAAGAACACATTTGTGCACAATATTAAGGACCAAAACACCAACCTTTGGCAATGCCATGGATGATAGAAACCCTGGTCTTCCAATCAAGCACACCAACCCCATCCCGGTCGAGATAGCTCGACAAATTACCCCCGGGGGCAAAGTCGTAAATCAAGAAACACTCCCCTCGAGCCTTGGATCGGCAGAACCCTTTGAGCTCCACCAGGTTCTCGTGCTTGAGCGAATTCAACAGGCCGAGCCCTCTCAAGAACTCGTCCTCCTCCGACTTACAGCTCGTCTTCCCAATGCACTTAACAGCCACAATCGACCCATCCTTCAGAACCCCTTTGTAGACCCGACAGAATTTACTCTTCCCCAAGAGGTTCACCTCCGAGAAGTGCTGCGTGGCCTATTCGACCTCCTCGAGGTTGAATATCGAGCCTTGCAGGGACCGGCCGTCGAACGAGTCTCTTCCGTCCGGGCCCACCGGTTCCCACACGTTTGGGCAGCGGTCGAGTGAGGATGGGCTCCGGTCGTGGAACTCTTTCGCCGTGTCCCCATTGGACGTGTCCGATTTGTCAGCGACCTTCTGTTTCCGGCGGCGTTGCCGGAAAAAAGCGACGGAAGCAGCCACCGCCAGCCCGAACGAGGTGGCGATCAGGCCCGAGACGAGCCCGATCTTTGGAAGCTTTGAAGGGGTCTCCGAACAGATGGTCTCGTTGCAGGTCATGGCGAAGGCAGCCGATTGGTGATTGCCCGTGTGGCCAGATGGGAAGGAGTTCACGTTGAGGTCGAGGTTGCTGTCGAGCGAGGTGCAGGCTCTGAGCGCGGGGAAGCCAGACCCACACAGGCCCGAGTTGTTTTCGAACTGGAAATCGATATTTCTCCTCTTCAGACCTTGAGAATTAAGCAAAAGTCGATAACTTTAACAACAATAACATCAACTTCCTTTCTTTTTTCTTTTTTTTTTTTCTTTGGAAAAGATTGTAAAAGAAGATGGGTGGCTGGCTAACCAGGAGGGATGAGTCCAGAAAGTTTGTTGTTTTTGACATCAAGGAGTTCAAGTGAGGTGCTATTGGCCAGTGTGTAAGGAATTCGGCCGGAGAGTTGATTCGAGCCCAAGTGCAAGCTTTTCAAGGACCTCAAATTTCCTAAGCTTGAAGGGATTTGCCCTGTTAGCCTATTGCTTTCCAATGCAAGAAAGTTCAGGTTTTTTAAGGTTCCCATTTGTGTAGGCATGTTCCCTGTCAATTGGTTGTAACTCAGCTGCAGCACTGCAAATTTGTAAGAGTTCATTCACTAAGTTCACTAAGTTAAAGTTCAAGAAAATGAAATTAAAATTACAAACTGGCTACAGATTGTGATAGTTTCATATCTAAACAGGTGAAAAATGAATTTCTTTAGCTCAATAAATATATATATAGAGAGAGAGAGACCTTGCAGACTAGCCATTTTTCCGATCTCAGGTGGTATAGCCCCAGTCAAGTTATTGAAATTGAGATAAAGATCGGTTAACTCGGTCAGGTTCGCAATCTCCACCGGGATCTCTCCCTGCAGAGAATTGTAATGCAAGTAAAGGCCCGACAGGCACTTGAGCTCCGCCACCGCCGGAGTCAACTTTCCGGCGAGCCCCTTCCCCTGCAGAGAGATGTTGGCCACTTTGCGGTGCTCGTTGCAAGCCACCCCGACAAACGAGCCGCTGCACGGCTCGCCGGCAGCGGCCCACGACGACAGGCACTTGTTCGCCGGATCCAAAGACGACTTGATCTCCATTAACGCCCTCAGCTCCGTATTTCCGGCCACCGGAGTTGTGAAATAGTTGCTGCTACATGTTAGGCCGGCAAGAATTAGGAGAGGAAACAGGGGATTTGGGCCATTTGGTGACCCCTGCATTTTCTTTTTCCTTTTTTTTTTTTCTTGGGAGGAAGAGCAAAAGAGATTAGCTAGTGTGTGTGTGTTCAGTGGGAAAAGGTTGTCAGCTATGTTAGACTTTGGAGGATATAAAAACATGCATGCACATATTTTTATGGGTTTTATTTATTTATTTTCCTTTTTTTGTGGTTAAATAATTTGTTGTCATTTGCACCATAATAATTGATGATATTTGGGGATCGATAAAAGTATGGGTGATAATGATTGGTAAAACACGAACATGATACAGATGTATGATGATAGAGACGATATTATTTAAGAAACGGCATGACGAGAAAATTATGAAATAATTGATTTAGTTAAATTTAGATTCAATATTACACTTAGGATTAAAAATATGAAACAAAAGATTTAGTTCAATTTAGATTCAGTATTATACTTAGAATTAAATAAAAATAGATGATACAATAACATGATAGTGAAAGACAAATATTCCTACATAATTAACATGATAGATTGATAGTGAAAGACAAAACACTCCTACATAATTGCATATTTCGATTCCTTAATATCACTAAAGATATTTTTTTTTTCAGTTAAACTACAAAATAAATTACACTTCATATATCATATATCATATGTTGTTTAAGTACAATTTTCAAATTAGGATAATTTATAGTTTTTTTCTTAATTGTGGATAAATATATTAATTTTTGCTAAATGGATTTTCTGACCTAATATGTTGACCTAATATGTCTGAAAATCTTGTATATTTTTGTATAACATATATTTCTATGTGGATATGTTTCAATGTTTAGTGGAATTCTTCGTGCACACTATGTTATTGATAGAATGCAACATAAATGTTCCCCTTAACAAAATCGGTTGCGATATTTGTATCTTACTATTCATCTAAAATATCATACTTCCAATGTACTTATTTTAATAGAATAGTACAACTAAACATAATATAAAATCATATCACTTAACAGGTAATGTTACTATTATACTTAAAGAGAGCTTTTAAAGCACCAAATTTTTAAAGGAGTGAACTGATTTGTATCTTACTATCAATCTAAAATATCATATTTTCATTTTACATGTATCTAAAATATTATACTTTCATTTTACATATATCTAAAGTATTTTAATAGAATAGTTACAACTAAACATAAAACAAAATCATAATACTTAACACATAATGTTACTATTATATTTAAAGAAAGTTTTTAAAACGCCATATTTTTACACATATGAGATAAATACGCGTTAA